TGGCCATTCGGCAGATTCGGATTCAGCGCAAAAAAAATCGTCGTCGGAAATCACTCCTACATCTTATTGGACCAAACCTCGCAGGCTTGTGTAATTCTACTCATAGGAGCAGTAAAATTGTATTTAGGAGATTTAGTTATTGACTTTGAGAAAAACCTATAGATTCAAAGAGAGACTATCAACATCTATGAAGTTAACATCAACTTTAACAATTTTGATAATACGGTTTTCAATTTCATAATTTTTGACAAACATCATTTAGAAATTTCTGACAAAGCTGTTGTGTCATGGCGAATCATCTTAGCGCAATTATTACAAAATTGTCGTCAATTCAAGATACCATTATATGTTTTCACAGTTTGCCTCTCGAGATTATTAAAGTAACTCATAAAAGATAAGAAACTCCCGGCGGATTAGAACATTGACAGTTTTACCTTTCAAAATGCAGTTACGAACTTCGACAGCTTCGTAGGAAAACCCGGCGGAATTTGTGAAGTTCATCTCGTGCTTTAATTTCGGTAGCGATGTCTGTACAGTACCGCTCGGCAATTCCACCTTCGTTGGACACCAAAAGTTGTCAGGCACTTTTATCATACCCTTGGTACCGCAAATATACGCCTCATTCGGCAGTTTGACCAGCGCATTTGTCATGATTGTCGCGGTGCGATTCCCTTTGTAGGTCAAAGTAGCCGACATGCACATATCGACGCCGTTCTCGTTCAGAAATCCAGCCGCCTTAATACTCTCCGGCATTTCGTTATCATATACCAAGCAGACAAATTGCAAACAGTAAATGCCAAGATCAAGAATTGTTCCGCCACCTAACTCTTTCAAGCTGTAAATTGTGATTGATTAATTAATTCATTGCCTTGCTTCTTTTAGTTTGCTAAAACAATTAATAAACATTACGCTATCCGATCCAAATCAGACATTTGGATACCGAAGGGAATGATAACTTGATGAATATCGCCTATGTTACCAGACGCGATTTCCTTTCTAATAACATCATACACGGGAAAACAGCGGCTCCACACGCCTTCCATTAGGAATAGATTTTTACTCTTAGCGTAATTAATCAATTCAGTGGTCTGCTTTAGGTTCATCGTCAATGGCTTTTCGCATAGGACATGCTTGCCGTGCTTCAACATAAGCATCGCGATGTCGAAGTGTTGAGGGTGAATCGTTCCGATATATACGATGTCTTGAAACACATACACGAAAATGAAAATTTTTTCTTTGAGCTCTTCAAATAATTTTTCAAATTTCTATATAATTTTATAATTTTAGAAAACTTTCTGATTCTCTTCAACAAGAAAAATTTACATTTTTCAGAAATGATGAGAAAGTTGAATCTACATATATTTTCTAAAATTTATATATATATATTAGGTCTAAGTTTAAAGCTTTTTTTTCAATAATCTCCATAAATTTAAAATATAGAAAAATTCTTTTAATATTATGAGAATTCTCTTTTCATTAGAATTCAAAAATATCTTAAGATTTTTCATTCTATAATATCCAATGAAAACTTATAAAATCTAAAAAAATTTAGGATATTTTTCAAAAAATATCAATTTAAAGTATGAAAAATTCTTAAAAATATTATATTACGAAATTTTTTTCATCAGGATATCACAGTGAAATTTTATTATGATTGCACAAAATTATTAATACAGTTCGCAATTATCATGTACCGATATTCTTGTTCAATCCTAGTTTCTCATAATCGTCGTAAACCGTCTTAATTTCGTGCAACTTTGCAAAATCCTTCGCACGTGACAATTGCCGCGCCGCAACGGCGATGACGTCATGCTCATCAGCTGGTAAAGATCGCAATGCCGTTACAAAATCATGCGAAATCTTTCCTGCGCTAGCGATGCCCCACCGTAAAGTTATCATCTAAATTTTTCACAAAAGAAGAAGCTCTATCAGTTTAGCATTGATCTAGTTTACATCGTGCACTTGATTACACTTGATACGGATACTAACTATAGTAACTTTCTAATTGAATCTTATCTTAATTTCGACGATACATGTAAACTGTGTGTGTGTGCGTGTGTGCGCGCGTGTGTATGTGTGTGTATATATGTGTATTTAATTAATCATTTTGATGTGTACCCAGGGAGAACGCGAGATCGGATAGATGTCTTATTAAGCCGCGTATACATCTAGCGAACAAACACCGAATGCGAATGTTCGGACGTTTGTGTTTGTGTTTGTGAACAGTTTATTCTTTTTCTTGATTGTACCGAATACTAGCATTCGATTAAATTCGATGTTCGTTGCACATAGTAATTAACGTACTGCGACTTTTATGTAACAAATAATAACATAAACTTTTGCGTTTACTGTTCGTTCGGTGTTCGTTCGCTAGGTGTATACATGGCTTTAGATGTCGGAGGCGTCTATATACATCTAAAATAACGTCTAAAAATATTAATTTTAGACGCCACGTGAATTTGTATTATTTTTTTATTATTGTGTTATATTAGGCATGAAAAAAATCTAATATTTATACAATAGCAGATCTTTATTTATGAAATACTCTTTTGAGCTATAAGCAGAACTGCGATATTTAGAAAATTAGCGCCCAAGGGCTTATCAAAAGCTCTTCTTTCTCTGCCTAGTGCATAAATATACTTATGTACTTATTAATTACAAAACAAAGATAAATAATTAAATATCCCGGTAAAAATTTTTCATATATGAATATGGGTGCGTTCAGCAGACTCAACTGTTGTGCAACCATTTTGTTTGCTGAATGATTGTCCATTGAACAGTCCCAAAATCCCAAGTGCATTCAACGTCTCAACATGTTTACTCAGGCTGTGTTCCAATATTCACTGTCAGTGCTGAAAATGTATATACACGTAGACTGTAGATTTTCAGCGCTGGCAGTGAATTTTGGAACATATTTTCTGCACTCGAAAACGCTATAAAAGTACGTTGAATCACAACCAAAACGTGTTGAACAAAATGGCTGCGTTCAATGTGCCGAGGACATTATATATACAAATAGATTACTTATAACGTAATCTGTCGTAATATAGCGTTTTCGAGTGAAGTAAGTTTGAACCTATCCCGGGTCGGATCGATGACGTCACATGCTTTACTTTAGGTTTGTTCGCGTCGCTTGATCCAAATTAACCCAGAGAGCACTTGGATCACCGGTAAGATGGCGGTTGGAGCAGTTGGATTCATGTGCCCCAACGCTCGGTGACACGAACGGATTTAGGACAAGTTGGGACAAGCGTCCTGTCGTTCTATACCATGAATAGTTCATGATCTTGTGCAGGAGCCATTACCAGCCATTTGCAGCAAGTGAAATACTTCACTCAACTACACATTCTCAATCATTACGCATGCGTGCGTAACATGCCCCAACCGCACCACCTTCTGAGGTGAGGCAAATGGAGCGTGCTCTTAATTGATCCATGGAGTATACTCTAACGCGACGCGAACATCCAGTCGCCATATTGGTTCCGGTGACGCGAACGTATTGGAGCGCGTTGGAATGAACAGGAGCAGATTGGAGCGTGCGACGCGAACAAACCTTTTGATTTCTGGGGCTGCGGTCCACTTGACGCTACAAACGCTTCGAAGCATTCTTTGATTAGTCAATTCGTAAAATTCTTTGTTTTGATTGGTCGCTCAAAACAAGCGCTTCGAAGCGTTTGTAGCGTCGAGTGGATCGCAGCCTTGGGTACCTGTTATGGAACAAAGTCGGAATGGATTCCGATCGAAATTATTCAATTATTCCCTAGATTTCTATTGTGTTTTCTGGAGAAAACGGAATAATTCCGATCGGAATCCATTCCGACTTTGTTCCATGATAAGTACCCTGATTGGACGAGGTTATAATATTTTCGGGTCAAACATGGGTTAATCGAACCGGGTCGGGTTCAAACCCACTCCACTCGAAAACGCTAATAGATACATTTGAGACTCGTCAAAAATTACAAAACGGTACGTAGATCGATTTTGGAGAGTGAATCAGCAATCGAGGAGCAACTGTAAACTGTAACTACATATTTATGCTATCGATTATTAATTCGAGATGCAACCGAATGTAAAGGAATTGGCACTCACGTTGCAGAAACGAAGTACTCACCACGACGTCTCGGAGTATACTAACTGTTTCGCAAGCAAACGCCGATTACGTCGAGATAATCTTGTTCATTGACTTTCAAGCAACCTTGTAATGTGATACTCCACAGTCATAAAAAACATTTTGTTTATTACGCTTGTATCTTTCCGCGTGCTATTTTTGTAAGTTTTAATTATTTTGACTGTTGATAATCCCAGATAGCCAAATGCCTCTAAGGTTGCCGTCATGTTGCGGACAATCAATTTCTAGAAATACGAGCCAAAGTGCTTCGTCATTGTGCATTTTAGGTTGTAAATTATGTGAATTCGACATCAGATTACAGCAAATTGACGGCAACTTGTTGACATTAGTATATTTCCTCATCATCAATTGTAGTCATCATGTTGCCGTCATATTGTTAGTAACATACCATACTAATATTTCTGACTGCTTGTTTTCAAAATTGCATCAACTAGATACTTGTATAATCATTCATGCTGCTTAGTATGATAAATACTTGATATGACTGCAAACAAGCAACAACTATTCAACACTCACGCAGTGCATTAATTTGCTCGATATGATTAATTACGCTTGGTTATCTGGGATGATCAATTTATTTGCTACAATTGTGCCAAGCATGTAAAATTTTACAGATAATCATTTATGTATTAATCCTTCGCTTGTATCGTGGGATTTTTAAAGAACAGTCAAAATTTCAACAAAATTTTCCTCTGTATTTTGCTATATAAAAAAATATAACTTTAATTTTTAATATACTGTTTTTTTTCCAAAAATCTGCTAACAATGCTTTTATGCCACTAATTGTATATAATACATTAGGAATTTTTTATTTTCTTAAATCTAGTCTAACTAAAATATAATTAAGTGAATATTCTTGCGATCTTCAATTAATAAAAATATCTATTATATATATATATAAAAAATAATTTAAGTTGCATATTTGGTTGTAAACATAGTTATATCTCTCAAAGGAAGTATTTTACATAAAGCTCGTCCACGTAATAATCCATGAGGTACTGGTCCATATACTCGTGAATCTGTAGAATTATTTCTGTTGTCACCTTCCAGCCAAACGTGTCCGTAAGGTATCTGTAAGAAAATAATTCATCAGTACATCTTATCAATATGTTTCTCTCTGTAATTCATGTAAAACTATTAATTGAAGGAACAAGATGTAAAGTAATTCTCTAGAGACAAAAAACATCAAAATATGTCCTGATAATTTACCGTAGTTATGATGAAGCCATTCCTTATTTTGTCGCCAGGCAGGCCTATGATTCGCTTGCATATATTCTGCTCCGGATTGTTGGGACATTTGGAAATGACGATGTCCCCCTTCTCAAGCCTTTGCAATCTAACTGATATTCGTTCCAGAAGTAAGACGTCATTAGTGTACAAAGTAGGCTCCATGGATGGACCACTGCACTGTAATTACATCAGCAATAATCATATTATCAAAGTGAAAGGCATCAGATCAGATAATGATAAATAAGAAAAAATGCGTAATCGCATCCTTACCACGACAATATCGCCCACATACTCGTACACACAGTATGTCACACATGCACATTGCGTGAAGCCACGAATGACCTTAGCCACAAATTTGTTCAGCTTTAGCATTATGACAAAGAATCAACGAAAAGAGATCACTTCTCCTCGTCCGTTTTACCGGAATCGCGTACATTTGACGCGTTTTTGTATGAAACGAAAATATTTGGCAGAAAAAAAAGTGTTGCTCTGTTCCGTGAACCGAAATACTAAACGATAAAATTGACGACTATTGAGGTTAGGAAATCCATGGTATAAGAACATAGCTAAAAGAATATAAGTTTGTCGCGTCGCATACTTCAACACGTTCCAATATGCTCCTACCATAGCTCCTACTCACTCTATCAAGCGCGTTGGAGTGAGTAGGAGCTATGGTAGGAGCACATTGGAACATGTTGGAGCATGCGACGCGACAAACCTGCAAGCTCCCATTACATGGGAACGTCAAGCGTCGAGCGTCGAGCATCGTGACCTTACTATTCGCTAAAAATAGGTCACGACTGTCATTCGACTGTAACAGGGGAATACTCGACTGTAATTGGTCAGTTCTTGTACTCTGATCCAACTCTAAAGGCCATCACACGTACAAAAATTTTAGTCGTGATCGTAAGGCCATAAGCAAATCGGCCAATCACAGTTGAGCATTTAAAAACGCGAGATCTTAATTTTGATTGTGATTGGTTGATTTGTTTGCGACCTTACAATTACGTCTAAAATTTTTGTACGTGTGATGGCCTTAACCCCGGATCTACAATAGGATTTTAAGCTTTAAGCCGCAAGAAATTGACCAATTACCCAGGCTCTACAATAGAGTTTTAAGCCTTAAGCCATAAGAAATGAACGAATCACAGTCGATTATTCTCCTCGAATTCGACTGTAATTGATCAATTTCTTACGGCTTACGTCTTAAAACACCTATTGTAAATCCGGACTTAGGGCCCTGGCACACAAAAAACTTAAGGCAGTAAAACGTAAGCAGTAAGCGAATTGACCAATCACAGTAGAGTCCATAAGGCCATAACATAAGCAGTAGCGAATCCAATATGTTGATTTCCTTACGTCTTACTGCTTTAAGTTTTTTGTGTGCCAGGGCCCTTACAGTTGGATCCGAGGAGAATAATCGACTGTGATTCGTCCATTTCTTATGGCTTAAAACCCTATTGTAGATCCGGTGTAGAACCTCGTTTACACGGCACCCTGAAGGTGCCACAATAGAAGGAATAAGGAATTAGGGTACCATTACATAAGCGCGGAAACGCGTAACCAATCAGAAGCGATCCGCTGTTATGGTTTCGCGTTTTATCAATTACTGATTGGTTGCGCGTTTCCGTGTTTTCGCGCTCATGTAATGGCACCCGTAGGAATAAGGAATAAAGATTTCAACTTATCAGATATCAGATACACCGGATTACATGGATTCTGATAGGTTGAAATCTTTATTCCTTATTCCTTCTATTGTGGCTGCACCTTTAATCGGGTTTAATAACATCCGTAGTTATAAAACTGGCCAATCACAGTCGGTCCATTCTTCCGAGGAATAGCTATGATTGGTCAATTTCATAATTACAGATGTTATTAAATCCAATTAATCGTACCGTGTAACAGAGGTCCATGATACGCAAAGTGTCACGTGATCGTAATTTTTCTGATTGGATGAAGTCTAAGGCCGGTAAGAAATGGAAAGAAAGATTTCAATTTGAAATTTTTTGTCATACTCAGCATAGATTCCATCTCACAGACACGTATTAACGCGTATACTTTAATTCTGGAAAAAGATTTTTGAATCTATAAAAGAGAAAAAGTAATTGTTATACAAAAATTATATGGTTTAATCGGTAATACTTTAGGATAGATATAACTTTAGGATCCTCTTCAAGATTTATTGTCGTAAAAATTTTGGGATTAAAATTTATATCACTATTTTCATAGAGATTGAAAGATATTAAAAAATTTTTATTTCCAATTTCCATTCATTTTGATGTGTGTGTCTCGAGGCTACAATTCTCTTCAACTTTCTGACAATGAGAGATATGTTAATGAAAGAAGTAAAATATATGATATATAATATTCTTAGCTCCTATTCAGGATGTTTGATAGACATATATAGCATATAGACTACGTTTATATGTTATAACTTCGGCGTAAATCGAACCGTGTAAACCTAGTCATATATTAATATTTATACTTTAAATAAACTGTATGAAAATTGTTTATAACATTCTGTTTTTATTGAACATCTTTTCATTAATTTATTTACTTTATTGGTTATTATTTTCATTGCTATAAATTACAATTTTAAAAATAATAATAAAAATCTCAATTTTTTGTATAAGAACTTTGAGTATTCAAAATAATTCATGTAAAGTTTATTTATTGCGATTCACCAATTAATTATAAAAATTTAGCACAAATAAATTAATTACAAACATTTTAAACAATTAAATATTTTGTTTATTTACTGAATTCCATAAATAATTTTGAATACATAAAGTACTTATACTAAAAAGTTGAAAAAAATTTTTGTTATTTATTTTATAATAAATACATTTCCATACATTTCTACGAGAGCACGGATTACAATTAAAATATTATTTTTTATTTTGAAATAACTTATTTATGATCTAAATGATAAATCGTCACTAAAAATAATTCGTTGTATTACTTATAAATATGGTTTAGAATAATTTGTAATTTTTTCATAATTTTTGTATTACGTTGAAATATTTATCGAACATCCTTCATCGGATTCTCGCGAAAAAGATCTGCGGACTGCAATGGGCGCGTTTGCACGGATAGCTTGCGCGAATCGGAGCGCGATCCGACTACGTGCTACGACGATGCCTGCGACTGCGGTGTGGCGCGTCGCGTGTCGCGATATATATCACGAGAATCACCCCTTTAATCGGCGCGGTAATCGGGCGCCGTCGGCGAATCTCGGGTTTACACTCGGTTCCGTCGTGCTCCGCGGTCGTGGTGCGTGTATGAATCTCGTTTAGTTTGATATCCTTGGCAGGTTACGATCAGTTACGATTGACTGATCGAAAGATCGTCCGCCAAGCCTGCCGATCAACTTGCTGACCGACCCGACCGTCTACGAAGAGCGAATATCACGGTGCACGATATCGCGACAAGTGCCGAGAGCCCCGGATAGATTACTGTGGCACGAGGGAGGAGGCCGGACACGCGCGCGCGCGCGCGCGCGAGAGCGACACAGGGAGTGACACGCGACGTGGTGCGTTCGTTCGCCCACTCGCCCGCCCGCTCGCTGTCCGTTTGTCCACGACCGCTCGTACGCACGGCACGGTACGGCACATACAACGTACGCACGCACGCACAGCGTCGGAAACTCGCGCGCGCCACACGCACACGCGCGCACACGCACACACACACACACACACACACACATACACACACATACACACACCCCATATATACATATACACACGCTTGTACAAACATATACGAACGCACGGAGGAGACCAAAGAGAGTTCCCCCGTCCAACGGCGCCAATTTAATGGATCCGACCATCGGTTGGTACCAACCGGAGCAGTACGGCCCTGCCAAGGACCTTTGGTTACACATTTGGGAGGCCGAGAAGGGTCTTGACGTTCTGACCCTGCGTAACGACGCGAACACGAGTAATGCGATGGGCGTACGGCTGCAGCAGGACTTTCTCGCGCTGGACACGAGCCCGGCGGCAGCGACGACGACGGCAACAACGACGGCGACGACCGCAGCCAGCACCACGCCGACGTCGTCATCCAACAGCACCACCGCCAACGCCGGTGTCGGCTTCGGCGCTGGTAACAATGGCAGCGGTATTGGCGGCAATGCCGGCAACAATAGCAATGGACCGAACGGTAGTAACGGCAACGGACGAGCTACGTCCGCCGTTCACAGCGGTGCCACTGGCAATGGCAATGGCGAGCACCGCGTGCCCCACAATGCCTGCAACTACTATTACAACCCGTCCCGCAGGAAAGGCGAAAATCGGGCGAGCACCTACGGCATGAACTACAATTATGACGCCCTTGTGGGCGAGTACGGTGGCTGTCCGTGGCGTGTGACCAACAAGCATTACTCCATGGGGACAATCGGGTGAGTATATCCAGCTCCACATCATCGACCCGGAGGGATTGCGCTACCCGGTCCATATGGCTGTCTGTTAGGTTATGTTGGCCGTCCGCTTGAACAAAGTGCCCCAAATGCCTGCAGGTGGTATTGAGGACTTGGCAGGATGTCGAAGGAAGAGTAGTCCGGGGGTAATAGCAATCTTTTGGGATTTAAATTTGTCATTTCCGAGAAAGAGGAGAGGAGCCTTCCTGTATATGACGTTTTATATACACACTCACTCATTCTCTCTCTCTCTCTCTCTCTCTCTCTCTCTCTCTCTCTCTCTCTCTCTCTCTGTAGATTTACAAATAAAGCTCGGAAATAGCTACAAAAAATTATTGTCATTATTGTTGACTAGTATAAGAAATTGTAAACATATCTCATGTATCTAAGAGATACATTATTGTATTATAAATTCAAGGACAAGGCATGCCAAGTATCTTTCACAAAGATGTCTCAAATTCAGATGAAAATTCTATTTTTAAAGTTCTTAGAGATCGTATTTATTAGGATTTTTTTTATATTTGCATATTTTATTTCTACATCAATTTAAAGATGTTGATACTGGACATTGAATAGATTATGTTTGTTTAGATTACACGAGGAAATAGAAGATTTTTTTTCATACATGTGTCCCTCGCACGAAGAGCATGTATTAAGATTGAGAGTTGTAAAAAGGATAGAAAATGTAATTTATGATCTCTGGCCAGACTCTAAAGTCGAAGTATTTGGTAGCTTTCGCACTGGTTTATATTTGCCTACAAGGTACGTATCTTTATGCATTTGTAAACAAATCCATAAACAAAACTGATTGTCCCACCTTTGGATAAACTATGTAATAATTTACCTAATGGATGAATAAGTGAGATTTAGCAAAAGATGAAATAATCCGGTCTGAGAGGAATATTTGTTTACCAAAGACTCATGTAAAGTATTCTCAAACATATAGAGACTTTCCTATTGTTACAGTGATATAGATTTGGTAGTAATAGGGATGTGGACAAATCTTCCATTACGTACTTTGGAACGTGCTTTACTAGATCGAAATATCGCTGAGCCATCTTCTATTAAAGTGTTGGATAAGGCTAGCGTACCGATCGTCAAACTGACCGATAAGGAAAGTGAAATTAAGGTAGACATTAGTTTCAACATGAATAACGGCGTCAAGTCCGCAGAGTTGATAAATTCCTATAAGAGGCAATATCCGGTTCTGGAGAAGCTAGTCATGGTGTTAAAGCAATTTCTACTACAAAGAGATCTTAACGAAGTGTTCACTGGCGGTATTTCTTCATACAGTTTAATACTCATGACCATCAGTTTTTTACAAGTGAGTATAATTGTTGTTGCTAACATGTTTACTGGAATCACGTTTATTATTGTGACAACTTCCTCGAGAAATCAATTGCCGTTGTCGAATCAAGATTTTGATTTATTACAGTTACATCCGAGAAAGGATATTCATTGTCCAAATACCAATCTGGGAGTGTTATTGATTGAATTTCTGGAGCTGTATGGGAGAAAGTTCAACTATGTTAAGACTGGCATTCGCATAAAGGATGGTGGTCAATATATATCGAAAGAAGAGGTCTAATTTATATTTATATTACATTATAGAGGTTCTATATCATCAGTATTTTTGATACTAATTCACATGTTTATTAATAGATTCAACGAGATATGATAGATGGTCATCGACCATCTCTATTATGCATAGAAGACCCACTCACACCTGGGAACGATATCGGCCGTAGTAGTTACGGTGCTTTGTATGTAAAGAGTGCATTTAATTGGGCCTATTGTATTCTCTCTCAAGCGGCCAATCCCTCAAATATCTTAATCAATGACGCCAGTAAAGTAAGGTGAGATCTTTATTATTTGTTTCTTCTATTCCATTTTTTATCCTGTACAACATGTAAATTATAATAAATGATTCTTTCATTATACGCAGCATACTGGGAAGAATAATCCGTGTGACCGATGAAGTAATATACTATCGTAGGTGGATTAAAGAAACATTCCTCTTACCCGTAAGCGAAGGAGATTCTCTATCAAGCTCAACTGGTTCTGATGCATCCACTCTTTCAGCTCCTGCTAGTGATACGGTACATAAACGTATTAGAAAAATATCTTCGTTATTATTTTTATACACATTAATTTCTGTTGTGTGTACATATATATATATATTTTAATTTACTTGTTTTTATTTCACATCCTATAATATATTGAAAAGAGTTTAAAGCCCTCCATGATATATTGCTGTATGATAATACATAGGATCGCTATTAATTCTGAATTTATGTACATATTTCTCTAAGGACTCTGAGTGTAGTCGTGGCAATTCTCCGAACACTGGTGGGAAGAGCGAAAATGACAAAAACAAAGATAGGCACTTTTATAATAGTCATCAAATCCACAATTATTCTGGAAGGAAAGCATTCAAAGCAACCATTCATGGTACGACAATTAACCGATTTTGTTTGCTACTTGTGTATATTATCAAGTTGCTATAACAGATTTCGATTACACATAATACATAACGTTCGATGATATCTTTCGCATTTGACACGTGCTATTTTTTATTGATGTTTCTTTGTTGCAGCCAATCACCAACAGAGTTTCAAAGGCAACTATCATCGCATCAACAACAATATAGTCGGTCAGAATAAAGTCAAGCACGCACTCCACAGTAATGGAAATAACAATAACAATAATAACAATACTAGTCACAGTCCAAGCTCTAGGCCACATTCGATGAAGAGGAAAAAACAATGCACAATGCAACGTGGAACCGGAGATTGTGTACGGTGATGAAACGTACACAATAATTTCAGATATTACTTCCGTCACTTAAGTAGCGAGCTCAATATCATAACTGTGTGATAGAAAGACAGCAATTAATGGTCGGTTATCGTAATAACTGAATCATCCTACGCGACTTCTCTTCGCTTTCAGTTTCAATTCAATGTACAGAAGGGCACAACGTTTACGGTTCTGAGAGAACCAACAGTTTGGAAATTTAACGATTCTTGTGCAGAACAAGAATGCCCAAGCAGTAGCTATACATATATACATATATATACATTTCTTTTTTCCTCCCCATTTGCCAGAACTGTATATTTTGCTCTGTACGTAAAAGGTTATACATTAAAGACGTACAGAATTCCTAATGGAAATTTGAGATAAGATCTATTTATATTTCATTTTCGTTGCACAGATTATAAACGGTACCCGGTGTAATAACACTTTATTATCGTTGTCTATAAAAAAATTGCAAAATTTATCATTACCATCGTCGAATAGTAATTGTGTTCACAACCATGATAAGTAACATATTGTAATACATTTAAAGTGCGAATAGTATACAGACGATAATAAGTTATATACGTTTTTCTCAACACATAAAACTTTAAAACACGCCGATATTGACAACTAAAAACTTAGTTTTCTATATGAAACTATATTCTTATAAAAAGAGGGTGACAGCAGATTTGGTGATATTGGCACTTATCTAATGTACATATTGTAATATACATCTCATCAAACATAGAGAAGTAAGTCTAAGAGTTACCTACTAAATTTTTTTAACTTATAAATATCTAAAATAGTGTTTATTATAGTGATTTTATCATAAAAATTTGTGGATGAAGCCATATCTATTTAAAAGTATACTATTTTTTGTTTTTTTTTTCTCTACAAAGCATAAATATATCGTTGTTGAAAGATTTTGGTATGTTTTTCAGATTTTAATAAAATTTCAGGTTTACGCGCGAATAATACGATGGTAGAAAAAACAATAAAATTTTGAATAACAATATTTTTTAAAAAGTAACTTATTGCTGAGACAAAGTGATGACAACGCTTCGAATCTTTGCAGTCTATTTCGTAGCAACAATTTTTTTTTACAAACTAGCTTTATCTATTTTCTTTTGTACAGAGACGCCAGTTTCTTAATGTTAGCTCATAATCCTTAGTATCCTCTGAACAATGATGTATTATTTTTATATCAGATAATTAAAATAAAAAATACGTTTGTATTATACAAAGGGAAAAAACGAAGAATCTGATATTTATGAATCTTACATTGCATTTGATGAAACTTGTGTATATGACAATACGCGAAAAGGCCTTGACATTACTTAAAAAACTCCGTATGTTACGTTCTTCAATTGTGGTAGACATAGCTCACTATCAAACATTACATTCCGTCGACGCAATAATTAATAAGACAGAAGTATTTACCGCAAGCAAATCTCTTCAATGACATCAGATCAAAATTCTTTCTGGTGCTACTGCATTTTTGTGTTCAACGACTTTTAATGTGCGATGTAAAGATTTATCCTTGTAACCTGTTTAATTTAGCCACGTGAATTGAGGATGTTTAGAGCTTTGATATCTTTTTAAATTATATATAACACCCAATATTCCGTGTATATTATTTAACTTAAAAGCTCTTTCATATGTAATATTGTAAGCTGTGATTGAATTTAATAATTAAATTGTCAATTGCTTAAAGATATATATAAATATATATAGATATAATTTAAATGTTATTGTAAAGCATTATATAAAGCCATACTACATTTTTAAAAACTGTAAACTATTATATCTTAGTGATCCTCAACAAATTACGTGTTTTTTATAAATATCAGAATTTCGTAATCATTGAAGGTTTGATAACGAAACTTCGTGATCACTCATATTTATCGAATTTCCCGGATCGTCTGTAAGAAACGCCAAAAAAAGATGAAAAGTTTAATAAATATGAATGATGTCGATATCTGATCTTAAATTATTTCTCGTTTGTATGTTTTTAATTAAGGGAAGCGATTTTACCTCATATATAGCTATCATTTAAGACCAGCTAGACCGTTTGTAAACTTCTCTCGATAGCAATATAATACTCTGTATTTTCCAAAAATTTTGATAGTCATGTATATTTATATTTGTGTGAGTATATTTTTAAATAAGCAATAATGTGTAACGAACGTAACGCGATCAGTGATGCTATTTTATCTTTGCAGAATTACTGTCGTTTCACAGCCGTTACATACAGATTGTAAAAAAAATATTTAATTGGCGTATACACATTACCGAAAGTTCGTAACTGTGTAACTGCGAATTTTCAAAAGTACAGGCAACAGTACAGTTACCCGTGCTTTGGTAATGTCTTTTTTTTTTTTAATAAAAAAAAAGCTTTCGCGAGGAGAAAGGAAAGTGAGATAGCGACTACTAAATCTTTAGCGACTACTAAATATGCGAATATAAATCGTTTATGGATTTAGCAGTCGTCGAGCCGGCAGCGATTTGTACTTATCAATTGTCTACTCGAAAGTTTGTACACATATGTGTAATCCGAGATATGTGAAAAATGTACAGAAATGAAATAAATCTTACTTACCTTTTTCTTCAATCAAGTTCTACATTTGAGCGATTTTTGCATTTAACTCTTAATAATTTAATATACACTAATTTATATACTATATTTATATATCACATAATTTAATATGTTATAAAGACTATAAATTGATAGCAACGTACTTTTAATATATCGATAGCGCTCTAATGTATCCACATGACATTTATTAAAATTTCGCCACTTGTACATATATATATATATATATATATATATATACACAAGCGCTCAGAGAACGAGATACTGTACATGATGACTAAGTAATTAGTAGCAGGGTAAATTTAATTAATTTATTTTCGAGCGCAGAGACCGTCGATCGGATTCATGTCAAGTTTCTTCATGCGATCCAATTGCGCCAATTGTCTCTCCAGCGAAAATGTTTCAGGCAAAGGCGGGTAAGCTGGAAGAAGAGGTAACGTTGCATTAAACCAGTGATTTCTTGATAACGCAATTCGAGTCACATCGGAACACGGAAACGTACCGAATGTCTTGAAATACAAATACAGCCATATGCCGGCGCTCGATATTAGCAAGGACAATCCCAAGATGCCCTTCCATTCTCCTGTCGGGGCATCCATCTCGCTGAATGTTTGGCGGAAACTGGCACGATACAGAATCTTTTTCTCCTCGATCGATAGTTTTTTCCAGTCTCCCTTCTCCTTCTCTCTCAGTGCCTGACAAAGGAAACATGGTATAATTTGACAACTGCCACCTAGTAATAATTGATAGGTCTATGCTTTGTGGCTAAACTTGCGTACATACATTTGTATTTAAAATAAAATTAATTTGCAGAATAGTCCTTGAGTATTTTGAAAGATTTTAAAGGGTGATTCTTCACATTAATTCAAGGCGAAAATATCATGACCATGTATCTGAAACAGTTTAGTTTCAAAAATATAGAATGTCAAAATGAACTGAAAAAAATATTTTAAAAAAAATTTTTTTTTTTTCGAAAATTTTAAAAACTTCAAATTATTTTGTGAAACATTATGCATTTAAAGATTCATTAAAATAACGTGAGTGGTTTTCGAAATTTTTGGAAAAAATGAAATTTTTCCTCTAACTTTGACAACCTGTATTTTTGAAGTTAAGCCGTTTTGAACATATGGTCATATGAAGTTTTCTTGAATTAATATCAGGAATCGCACCCCTTAAGTTTGATATTCACTCACCACTACTATCTCAGATTATAACATCAGAGGCGAAAAAACGCACAATAAACATTTTTGCAAATTATAGTTGAATTACATGGGTGTAGCGAAAGGAGGGAGGCAAAGTCACCATAGCATTCCTCCTAAATTTTATAGAACAAAAATAATGAAAACTATTTAAGTATTCACAAGAAATTAATTTTGGAAAAGAAAAAAGAACTGGAAGTGAAAGTTTGTAGAAAGATTTTCCGAGAAAAGATTTGAGAAAGATTTTCTGAGAATCCAAGATGGCAAGTATTATAAATTTAAGTTTTTTCAGTTCGAAAATTCAGTTTAGAATTTTAAGAGAAAAATTAAGTAAATTAGTAAATTAAATATGTGTGTGATTTTGTGATTTACCTGCTAGTTTAATTAAAAATACTAATATAAAATATAAAACAAATCCAATAATCTATACCACTTGACTATCCTCATTTCCTCCAAATTCAAAAATCTGAATTCAATTCTTCTAAATTGGCCCCCTCCCCTTAAACGAAATCCTGGCTATATCTATGTTTGAATACAGAAATATTTTTCAATTGAGAATAGGCTTGTAAAATATACTGAAAACTATCTTCTTATTTTGGGGAAAAAAGTAAATCATATTTATTTTTATATATTATTAATTTAACAATTTACTATAGCTGTGAACATAGTTTATTTTGTTTTTTATTTTATATATGTATATGTATAGATAATTCATTTCCAAATATATGGTTATTTATTAATTAACAAAACAAGAAGCGTTTTCGTTAATATATTTTGTAAGTTTTATTATGTTTTTATTTATTTTGTTTACTTCTGATACACTCTGAAACAGTAATGGTGAGTGAACAGGGGCCTTAAAATCTTTTAAAATACTTTGAACTAAAAATACTAAAAACCATTTTGCATATTTAAAGTTTGGTCAAAATTGGAGCTAGAAAGTTTTAGCATAGTTTAATGCAGTGACAAAAAACAGATCCCATGAGAGAGCTTTAACTCTGGTGTCTTCCTTTTACCATGATATCAGGGGTGTTTTCTTTCCAGCGTATCGCAGGATAGGGAAAATCAGTTCTATCCAAGTAAGTAGGTTCGCCATTGTATCCGAAACCGATTACATCCCTATTACCAACTTTGTCCATTGTCATCAGTCCGCATCTTTGGATTTGAATAACAGGTCGCAAGTAACTCACAAACAGTCTGCCTGCCATTGCTCACTATAAAAATACAGCAGAAAATGGAATAGCAAGGGACTGATAATTGTTCCACACGCAAAATCTCGAGATATCTCATTATTGAATGAAATACATGGAGATTTATATAACACTTGCAAGATTGACGACGATAAAATGTAATATAATAAAATTAGATAAAATGAAGTTTTGTTATCGGTTCAAGATTTAATCGGCGATACCGCGAGTCGTGTCGGATTTTGACGAATATATCTTCGAGTTATCTGTCAATTCTACGCAATTATCAACGCATTAACATCCCGCAAGATTTACTTATATACGTTACTCTAATTGCGTCATAGAATTATTTGTCATACGGCACAATCAATGAAAATATCCTCCTTCTTGTCGCGTTAACGGAGTCTTCACAGAAACGTCAATATTTGGGAAAATACCTTGCTCCAAGATAGAACACGATGCATACAAGAGCGAGTTACCTAACTGGTAGCGAGGATAGCTCTGGTGGGACTGACTAGCTCTCCGTAGCTCGGCGGAAATGCGAGATGGAGAGCCTCCTGCACGAAGCTCGAGGGAAATTATGTAATCGCGTCGAGACTGTTGCGGCCAGCGTCCAGTTATAGCCAGTTATAGCGTTGCGAGAAACTAACGTTAGCTAACCGACCAATACCAATTGACTCATTGATGTTTGCAACAGTTTTTTGTTGTACTTCATGCAAGGAGCATGGTGGAAGTAAAATGACCGAGTAAAATGACCTTTTTCACCAACCCCGATTAATGCTAATCGCAAGAAGACTAGAACTAAGGAGGATCAACTCGTGCCAATAGCGGTAGTGGGGGTGAGGCAAAAAGTGGCGACGGATAACTTCCCCCACTTTCGCTTCATTAGTCCTCTCTGTCGCTCTATATAGTTGTCGCTCTATCGTTCTATAATCGTCACTTTGTCGCTCTTATATCGAACTTTCACACAATGCGCAGTGCCGCTGCACATCGTGTGAATAGCCACGGACGTTTTTTGACTCACCCCCACCACGCGAGTTGATCCTCCTTAGTTCTAGTCTTCTTGGCTAATCGATGGTTAACTCAACCACCACGATTGCCAACTTGTGAGAACTAAACGCAGTTTGTCTCACAAGAGGAAGAGAGAGAAGATGCTCTGAGGCCCAGTTCCACAACTCACGGCCATAGGATTTCAATGCTTTCGTTTCATACTAATACGGCAAGTTAGTATGAACGAAAGCATTGAAATCCTATGGTTGAACTTTACCGGTACCGGCATAAGTTAACGGTTACGGCCATTATAAATCAGGCTTCAGGCTTGACGCGTCAAATGATACAATAAAATGGGATGTTTTGATTGGTTAACTCGTGACGCGGACGAACGACGCGACGCGCGACGCGTGAGCGCTTAGTGGAAACGCACCCTAACTGATTAGTTTTCTCTGCTGAACGCAGCATTATTTTAATATGGTTTATCGGCACTGCACGATGCGGCGAGATGTCTGATATCTCTCTGGTGGAGTGTCTGTGTCTACGGCTACGGGTACGTCGTAGACTGCGTAGACATTGTTTGTCGCCTAGATCTCGGGTGGAGTCAGTGGAATCGCATATCGTAAAAGTCGGCCAAAATCCTGGGACGCCTCCTCATCGTCGTCGCCAGTCGTCGCTTGTGTCAAGTCAAGCTGATCAAGCACAGGCGCATCCAAAATTCCGAACAGTAACGGCTAAGGCTATAACTTTTCGAGCACACGGTAGCGGTAGTGACGGTACAACTGTAGAAGAGTACCCTGAGTACCACCTCGCAGTGGAGACGCACCAAGACCAACCAAGACGCACATTTGGACGTTGAAATTCCGAGTTGAAATATCGAGCAGCATCGACGGCAAGGGAGAAAGCGAGAGACCAAAAAAATTAAGTACGTTCTCGCAGCGCTTCCACTATCCGAAGTCACTTCCGATCCAAGTGGAGTGGCGCCAAGGACTATGTTCTGTGATAGACCGTGGTAGGTTAGGCACAAACTGGCTCAAGATCTCGACCGTACATTGCTTTCGCAAATGAAGATGAGCGGGGATATGTTCGAGGGGAAGGACTATCCGACTCAGTGGGCGCTCAATCCTTCCGCTTATCAAAACATGAGTAACGATCAAGGTAATTAAGCTGTCACTCAGGATGGCAATTCTTCAGCCTTGTATCTGTACTGATTCTACTCTGGTGTTACAAAGACATAAAAATATGTATGCAGGATGATGTACGAAATGTAATCTTGTAATTATCTAGTTTTCAGCCTTTAGTAATTCTATATCAGTTTCTGTATCAATTTTGTTAACTCTTTAAGGCTCGATTGCACCAACGTACTTTGACTTTAAGCGAGGCTCAAGACTCTCATTTTCTCTCTTTAAAGATGAAAGAGAGGAAGAGATAGAGTTATAAGCTTTCGCTTAAAATTAAAGTAACGTTGGTGCAATCTGGCCTAAAACTTTTAAGGTGAATCTCGTCTCTTAAAGATTGAAATTGAGCCACTCTTCCAAGATTGGCTCTAAAGAATTTAGATATATAAACTAAATGTTACGACATTTCATGTGCTTTGCTGTTAAAGTGAGATATAAAGATGAATAACATATAGAAGTTTGACAGAAATAAATTTCCAATGTACATTAAAACAGACAATGTCAATATTGGATGTTTTAGACATTTGTATTATGTAAATAAATTTGTATTATGGATTTATTGATAACTTTATAACTGTAATAACCTTTAAAATATACCATCGTAGAGTAATGTAACAAACTAAAATCACTATTATTAATGTATGAATTTATGGTTATTATCTGGAATAGTGGATTGGGCTGCTCTGGCACAGCAGTGGATAAAGATGAAGGAAACTGTCGTGCCACCAGCTCCACCACCACCCAGCATAAATCCTGTATGCTCTGCAAATGATGGTAGTGGAGAAGCACCAATGGACATGGATACCAAGGATGATGACGTACCTCCAGCGCCACCTGCACCGACCATCAGTGGATCCGGTGAAAAAAGAACATCTGATTTGGATAGTTCAACTTCCGTTCCGAATTTTAATAATGACAATGAAACTATGTGTTGTCACTGCAAGGGACAACTGGGTACCTATCATGGAACAAGTCGGAATGGATTCCAATCGGGATTATTCAATTATTCCCTAGATTTCTATTGTGCTTTTTAGAGAAAATGGAATAATTTAATTCTGATCGGAATCCATTCCAAACATTTTCATAATAGGTGCTTTGATTCAATTCTTTTTGAAATATATTGTTAAACATAAAAATCTGAGATACATGTACTTTTTTTTTAAATCTAGGTACAATTATAAAACATATTAAAAAACCATATAAGTTTTATCTAAAACATATTTCTATTTAGCTTATAATAATTAGTGTTGTATATAATGTAATGTTGGAATTAGATATAAGCGTTAATTTTGAGAAATTGTTTCAACTTTTAAATCACAAATTGAGTTGATATAAAAAAAATGTGTCTTTTTGGTTTTTGTGTTGAACAATATATTTCAAGGAGATTCAACTCTGACAGATCGACTCAGATTTCAGACAAGCCAATATTAGTTTTGTCACATTATAACAAGTCAGTATTAGTTTTAATTTAATTTTATTCTCTTCTTTCAAGTTTTTCTTTTCACGCGCGCGCACACACATGCACACACACACGCACACACACACACACACACACACCTCCCATATTTTCGCAACGATGCTATACTTGTAAAATAAAAGTTTTTGGCTTTGATCTGTTGTGATGTGTCGGAGCTATCGCTTGGTGAAAATCCTCTCGGCTATTTCTCTGACTTCTCATACACTACTCATATACTTGAGATTTGAAAAGAATGTTGTTATCGCCAAAACTGGGTTTGCAAATGCTGCAAAATTTCTGAAAACTTAGTTTCTTCTTTAATCAAAAACTTGAGGATACACTGTTGCTCGAGTTTGTACATCTAGTTCTATCCATGCTTGTCACCATTTTATTTTATAATCTTGTGTGCCTCGAATTGCTCTCATTTTATAGCAGAGGAAACTCCCCTACTGTTACGAGAGATATGGCATTTCATTATTTCTCGGAGAAATTGAAAATTTTGGACAGAAGTTGAATCATCCGTGTTAACATGGATAATGAATGGTTATTATTGAAATCGGTAACAAGAGAAATTTCCTTATTGCGGTATAATATTGACGAGAATAGAAGCCTGGACTCAGTGGAACCAATGGGGTCACTGGAACGCCTCGACATCCGGAACCGGGAATTGGGAATGGAGTGGTGTTCCTCCCCCGGGTGTTACCGTAGATTCCGATGGCAAACCAATTGGACTTCCAGCCGTACCGGTTATTCCACCTGCACCAACGATATCGACCACTACTGATTTCAACACACCTCCCCCTGCGCCATCGCTGTACTCGTATAATTCGGTGCCACCTGGACAACCATATAATCAGGTAAAAAAATGAAGGAAAGTAAAATCTCTGTGTTCTAGAATGGCACAGAATAGTTTAGGTTGAAAGAGACCCCAGAAGGTTTTCGAGTGGTCCATTCTCAAGCTAAGTATTTTCTTATTTTATATCTAGCTAAAGTTGAGCAAATAAAGTAAATGTAAGGCATTAGTTGCAAAGCAATATAAGAAAAACGACAATCAAGAACGAGCAAAAATTAAAAATGGTAAAATTATAAGTAATAGTAATAAGTAATTTATTCTCTAATAATTTAGAAAGACAAATGGACATTTTAACTTAATCCTTATCAGCAAGATAAATCACCAAAAGAATAATAATAAAAGTGTTGACATTGTAAAGTTAAATTGCGTAATATAAAAAAATATATTAAAAATAGTAATCTGAAAGAGAGGCGGATTACTATTCACGAACTTCAATTAACTTCTTTAATCAATCTTTTATAAAGTCAAAATTCTCATACATATGAGATAAGGATTGAGATCGAACTCGGAATCTGCCGACTTTGAATCAATTGCTTTTATATGGACGCCATACGTTGCATTAAGTATCTTAATAAATGTGTTTATCAGGTTTCTAACTATTGGTCTGGTGAGCCACCTAATGCAATATCGCCGCAGCCGCTTCCTTTTATGAAGGGCATGAGGCATGCAAGCAGAGGACCTCACATGAGAACGATGGATTCTATTCGAGGTCGAGATGACAGAGAAAAGACACCGGAGGAAGATACTACTACGACTATAGGTAAAAATTATAACGGATAATAATAACAGCTTGCAATCGTTGAAACTGATTCAGCTGATTTGGCAATTATAAAATTTCATTGCAAATCGTCAGTTATACATTTTTGTTAATTTTGTGTAGACGCCGCAAAACGAAGACAGTTGCCGGCGTGGATTCGTGAAGGCCTGGAGAAGATGGAGAAGGAGAAGCAAAAGGCCATGGAGAAAGAAAGGCTAGAGATACTAAGAAAGCAGGAATTAGAAGCTCGCAAGCAAGCAGAGGATGAGGCGCGTGCAGTGCTCAATCCAAGCAAGAGTAAATTTGTAAGCATTAAAACTCTTATTCACTCACATTCATTACTATCTGAAATTATGACGTCAGAAACAAGAAAACAAGAATAAAATAAATTTTCAAATTATATTTATATAGAAATATTGTTTAATAAAATATTTATAATCCGTAGAATAAATTTGTAAAATATAGCGAAAACTATCTTCTTATTTCGGGAAGAAATTAAATCATATTTGTTTTTATATTACAAAACGAAGAGTAACTTTCGAGAATGTCAAATAAGATAAAAACAAATCAGACAGAGTTTTTGCGCGGTAATTAGTGCGAAGACAATTATCAAATTTTTCAATTTATAAACTTTTATTCAATGTAACGTATGTAATAATAATTACAGACGTTTCGGCTTTATTTCGATCCATCTTCAGCATGTTGAGCTTAAAAATTAATTTCTGCTTTATGGCCAAACCGGAAGAATGACAATTCAATTTCATCATCATTGCATTGACACATGATTGATGAGTCAAGTGGCAAAGAATGACATGAAAATTCCGCATAGCAATATTTGTCCAAAATTCAAAGAACATAAATCTTAGCTGAGTTTTCATATTGTACCGATGTTCTTTGCAATGTATCAATGCAATGAGGATGAAATTGAATCGTTACTCTTCCGGTTTGGCCATAACTGTTATAGCTGTGAGCATAGTTATTTTGCTTTTGGTTATATATAATTTATATATAATTTCCAAATACATGATTATTTATAACAACGAAATAAAAACAAAGTTTTCGATATATTTTATGAATTGGTTCTATTGATTGTAACTGTTATTTTATTGGAACATATTTCCATATTAATATATTTTACAAGAATTTTATTGTACATTTTTTTAATTTTTGATTTAACAATCTCAGTAGTGATGAGTGAAAGTGAACAAGAACCATAACCGCATTACGTTGTCTAAGCGACGAGTTTAACTTCGCGGATTTTAAAACGTAAAATTATATCCATTGTCACACTTGCTCCTACAGGATTCGGATTCGGAAAAGGAAACCGAGCAGGATTTCGATGCGAATAACGCACGCGGACAACAATCTGTGGAAAAGAGCTACGATCGCACCCCGGATATCATTGTTCGGCCGCGAAAATCACGATTCAGGGATGCCGATTCACCCGAGTCTCATACGGGACCCGATGAGAGTCCGACCGCTCCGATTAGTACGGTCCCAATTGCGCAAAAACGATCTCGAGAGGAAATTTTACAGGATGTGGTAAGTATAAAGATGAAAATGACCAAACAAAAACTAGAAATTTTGAATAAAAGACTCGGTAAAAAGCAATTTTTTTACTTCGGCCCTTAAAAAGTTTTTAACTCGGATATATTCTTTTGGAGCATTTGATTTTGTACTATTGTCCTGAAATTAAATTTTGGATTCATCTAGAAGATTTTCCTGTAAAATTATAAAAGTCAAAATGTAGTACAATAGGTCTGTTCTTTATTCCTGCACTGTATGCACCAGTTTAGATAGTGCAGGAATAAAGAACAGACCTAAGGACTAAGTGGCGGTGGCCATGGATATACACTACTGTTCATAACACTAGAAAATATTTATTTGTGAATCCTGCTATTTTGAACGAGCAAATGTTAATATTATATTATTAACATTTTATAAAAATATAATTTCCTTATCCCTTACATGTTTTTTACATTAACAGCTCTTAATTTTCAATCTATAGCCTAAAAGCGCAAAGTTTAGGCTTTCATTTCATCTCAATTAGAAGCAGCGCCAAGTGTTTACTTCTTTAGTTTTTTGTAATAAATACTTGAACAGTAATAAATAGACAAGGTAACGCAATTTCGTGCTAACATTTTGAATATTTTGAAGGAGAATTAAATAACTATTACTTAGATTGGAAGAGAAAATATCTTTAAATGAATTGTCATATAAAAATTTCATATAAACAGAATCAAAGCCATTTGGATTGGAATAAGAAGATTCTTCAATAGGAATTCCTTAGGTGTTTCATTGTATAAAAATTAAAGTATATAGTGCCACGAGTATTATATTCTTTATTTAATTTAGCATGGATGGTTTGGGATTTAACTTGGCGTCAGTATACTATTTTTACTAAGCGATATGTCATGTATTTTTCTGTATTCTCAATGAAAGTTTTTTTATTCCTCGCAAAAAAATAATAGTAACTTTAATTTCGAAAAAATTATTACATAAAAATAAAAGATACGATATCAACAACTGATATCAAGTTAAAAAAAATCCAAAATAATTTAAATTAATATCCAATGTGTGTGTGTATGTTTAATTAATTGCAATGAATTTCCTGATATCTGAGTGGATTGCATCATGTCTTCTGTTATGCAGATGTTGAAAGTGAGGAGATCATTGACGGAAATACTTCTGGAAGTGACGAATGAAGAAATTGGCGCGGTATGCAGGGAGGTTTGGAGCCGCGCACGTGCCAAAGGTACCCCCCCAGATACACACGATAGAACTAACCAATTGAATTTCCGTGCTTTCGCCCATCGGGGCACAGAATCCGAGTCAATGAGTCTACTCGCGACACCACGCTGCGACGAAGCTGTGCGATTGTGTAATACAAAGTTTAAGAGCATTAAACAGAGATACCTTAACATGTAGACTTAATTATTCGGCAATTTCAGGACATCCTATGTTTTGCGTTTTCAGAGATTTGCGTGTAGCGTAAGACACATTTCTCTCTCTCTCTCTCTCTCTCTCTCTCTCTCTCTCTCGCTTTTAATCACGTAATCGTCTCGTGATTACGTGTCGCAGATTTTTAAGACATTTTTACATTACCGGCATCCTTGTGTCCGGCAATGATCTTTTTCGCGATGTATCTCTATAATAAAAGCACTCTAAAATATTATACTTTTATATCATAGTGTAAATAGTGTTTTAACAATCCGAAATTGTTTTAATAAGGACATCTAGATATTATAATTTAGTAATATTTAATGTGTGTATAATTAATGAAAAATACGTGTCTTATCTGTCATACCCATCTATGCATGGGCATGTTTTATCATTTGATTTGTAAACGTTTTAAAGGCATTTATCCGAGTTTTTATAAGTATCTCTAACAAATTTCGTTTCATGCATTGCGAACTTTATCCTTTGAAGTTCCGGCAATGAAAGTTACAAGCTGCGTAGCAAATCGCGCGATGTAGATGTAATTTTCCTTTAGGGTATTAGAATATAGACTTATTAGTATTGACTTATAAGTGTATTATTAGGATATTGACTTATAAGTGTGGAATAATGCTATTAAAGATTTCTTAAGGTACATAAGAGGAAGCGAAGGGATGATTCGCCCCCCTTGCGCGAATGGGCTGATCAGAGCCATTCGGTATTATCGGGGGCGTTATCCGTGTGCGGTACTGCACACTTTTAGCGATTGATTACTAAATGCGTGTGTATTGTAAGTCCCTGCAGGAGAGATCCCCGTCGCATCCCTCAACATGGCCCCTCTTGCTCAGATCACTCATGAATCACTCGGTGAGTACGCTTTGACGCTCTATTATAACGCACGGCGATATCTGTAGGGAACGGCCGTGAAACAGTGACGCAGTGACTCGTGAGAAAGGAGAGAAAGAAAAGGAACACTGCGTGATTACGCACAAGTTCAAGTTCAACTTGATGTTAAGCTCGGCCGTTCTCTCGTAGAAATTATTTATCGCTGCAACCGAAAGAGAGGTGTTCTCCTTCTCCTCTCTCTCTCTCTCTCTCTCTCTCTCTCGTGCTCTTTCTCAAGACGTTCCTTGATGAGAGTAACGGCTGCGAAAATTAGCCAGAGCCGAGCCTTTGCATATATTTTTTACTTTTTTTTTATTTATTTTTCTGTCGCTCCGACATGAGAGAATGTCGCTTTCGCACAAAACGGATGTAATTCTTGGCTCTTGTCTGCCGTAGGTCTGAGCATCTATAACGACAGTAACAGTGAGTCCGAGGAGGAACAAAGCGAGCACACGCAGATTCAGAATGATGATAGCGATGAAGAGTTGAAGGTAGGAATTTTCTTACACGGGAAAACGCTGCGAAATTTTTAATTTGGATCAACTTTTATGGATATGTAAAGTGACTCAATCCATGAATAACGATATGCATGTTATTCGTGCTCTATGGCTCTTTAAAAATATGATTTTCAATCTTAAGAAGGAAGATTTTGCTCAATAAGATCTAAATTGGGTCTATTTATTTCTCTTTCTGAAGTATGTTCGCAAATTTTGCTTTGAATTTGATTGTATAAATCTCCCGTTTCCCTTTAAAGACAAAAGATCTTTCTTTAAAAAAGATTTTTTATATTTTCTATTTCAAAAGCACTCTTGCTTTTAAAGTAAAAAATCTTACTAAGGTATGATATGGTATGAATAACGCATATATTAAATTACTCTACGTATCTATAAAAGTTGAAAAATTCAAATGGGAGATTTTAGTTTCGCAGTATTGTTAGATTAATCATTCATCGCGTTTAGCTCAAACTTTTGCAAAGATGACACCGTTTTATTTCACGAGCCAATTTCGCAGGAAACGTTGAGACGGCGACAGCAGGCATTTCGTAAGACGGAGGAGGAGATCGAGGCACGGCTCGCCGAGGAAGAGGAGGAGGAGGAGCAGCGTAGCGAAGAGCAGTACAGTAATAAGCAACAGGAAAATCATACCGGTAATACTAGCTGCCGAGAGTCAGGTATGTTTCGACAGACAACCCATCCGCATGTGGCTGCTGGGAAACTAAGTGTAACTTCCTGACGTCATACTTTAGTTGATGAAAAAGAAACGGTAGATAATCAGAGAGAAGCGTCCGAGACTTTGTCGAGCGGCGGTCAAAGCCCAACAGCGGCGGTGCCGCAGAACGTGCCAGCGACCGACGGCCAGCAGGTGGCGAAGCCGAGCAGCACCGTATCGGGATCCGCCGATTCTGAGTCCAGCAGCACCGAGTCCACGAGCAGTTTGTCTGAGTCGAGCCGCGAATCCGCGCCCAAGAAACATCACGAGAAAGTGCGTAAGCAACAGTCACAGCAGCGCGAGCAACAGCATCAACAGCGTTACAATCGACGGCGGAAGTCTAAGAGCAGGAGCAAGTCACGAAGTGGTAGACGGTCCACCAGGTTATCGCGCTCATCCGAACGCGGAGGCGGCGGTGGCAGCGGCGGCGGTGGTGGTGGTGCTGGTGGTGGTGGTGGTGGTGGTAGTCACAAACGCCGGTCGCGTTCGAGGTCAGCGAAATCACGGAAAGACTATCGCTCGCGATCCTCCAGCGATCACAGATCCAGTAGAAAGCGTCGCACGCGATCGCGCGACAGGAAGCATGTGAGATCGCGTTCACGCAGCTACCGCCGCTCCAGATCGACGTCCACCGACAGAAAGTGGTCTTCGCGGTCGCACTCCCGCAGATGGAAATCACGCTCACATTCCAGAGAAAGGCGACGAGGTAGTCGGTCGCGCAGCAAGTCGCGCGGAGCGAAACGCGGAAGATCGCGCTCGAGAACACGCAGCCGCTCGCGGGATCACAGACGGTCAAGGTCCTACGTTTCCGGGAGAAGCCAACGGCGGGGCAGTCGATCCAGATCGCGAGACCGAAGTAGAAAGTCACGGTCCAAATCGAGCTATCGTGATGGTAAGAAGTCGTCACATCGATACAGGAATTGAGGTCAGGATCCGCTCCTAGCCAAGGTTGTATATTCATTCTGATTGTACCTTTTAACAGAACAATACGAGAAAAGCAGTGATATTATATTATTCTTAACAAGAGTTCGCAGCTTGTTATATAGACTAATCACAAAGGTCGTTCTTAGAGTCTTTCTCTTTCTTTTTTTATGTTACATCATCTCTCATTCGGCTCTCGATTTAGTGTTTATACGTTATATGATACAATAATTAAAAATATACATTATACATAAATGACGCTGTTTTAACGCGATGCAGAAATCTGAGGTACTTAATAAGGAATTTTTTTTTATTTGTTCTTTGCTACTTGGATATTAAATATTTTCTTATAACAGGGCCGAATTCTGAATTATCGTACAGGTGCAGATGTCGTTTCAGCCTTGTTGTTGACCGAATGTTAAACAAGGAATAAAACAACATCTGGGTACACTCGGATGATGATTCTGAACGCAGCCCTGCATACGTACACGTGAGATGATTATAGATTGCAAAAGACGTTATATATTTTCGTTTTTTCATTGTATAGTTTTACATTGATTGAAGTTTGTGTTGAAAAAGTTGAGCTACATATAAAGAATATAATTTTTCATTATGCAATAAAAAAGCAGTGAAAGTTTTGCTCAATCTTTGTTTTCAGAGTCATATAACGATATATGCAATAAAGTTACTTGATAACTTTGTAGATTTTTTATAGATATGTTATGATAAAAGTTTATTATTAGATTTAGTTATAAGAAATAAAATGAGGATTAAAGTGATTCAAGATTTGTCAAGGTTAGGCATTCAAAATTAGTAATTAATTGTGCATTTCTATCCATTGAATATCTTCAGAATACATGAATTTTCTTGGAAAATCTTTTTCTCTCAAGTAGATATTTTATTAATATAAAATTCATTTTTTTTTATCATTTAATCTGAATTTCGCTACTTTTTAATACCTAAAATTCTTATCTTGTTTCAAAATTACATATATGTATTTATTAATATTATATATCTTCAAGTAAGTCTTGTTAACTAGTCACGCATTTTTTATGTTTAATAATTTCACATAATTCATACATGATGCAATGTGTGATAAATAATTTGTGTATAGCTATTAGGTAATTATTATTTCACTATCGGTGAAAAAATGAAGTATTGGCTCTCTGAGAGAATCTATCGGGATATAAATCTTAAAATGAGATGAGTAAGGTATAACATAATTTAAATGAATAACATAATTCTTTTATTCAGAATGTTAAAAAAGAATATCCCACTCATACAAAATGTAATTACTGAATAATTATTTGTTGATTAATAAAATGCAGTTATTTTACGCGAAAATATAGTAATTTAAAGCGAGACTATGATTTAATTGTTCAACTATCGTTTTAGACATCTGAATTATGAGACTCGCAAATTGTAAAAATGCGCGCATCTTTATACAGTGAAGACTCTTTTTGTATTAATAAATAAATGTTATCAATAGCATTCAGGATTCATATGAATTCTTATTTACAGGAAGTGATAAGTAGGGAATAATAAATTTGTCTATTTCGTTATTTTCAGAATAATTTTGCACAGAAAAGGAAGATATTGCTGCAATGTATTTTATTCGATATATTGCTGCAAATAAAAATTTTGATAGAAATTACTTTGCAGTAATATCTTTCTCTATTTCGTATAAAATTATTCCAAACAAAATCGTGCGCGCAAATATCTTTTTATTAACTATATATCAAAATTATCATGTTACATCTATAATGTTAATTATGTACATGTATATAAATAAATGTAGCAATTATACAAATGAGTTCGATAAACACTTCAATAACGTGTGATTTGTATAAGAGTGGAAATATATTTGAATTTTGATAAGAAAAAGGAATGCTTTGTGTGGACTTTGTAAAGAGTATTATACATTACTAGGCTGAAATATAATGAATCAATCTCGTAGAATTATGCGCCAGGATTTCGACACGAGTCCTAGAAATCTTATTTTGTTTCAGCATCTCCTACTGGCTTCTACTGGACTTCAACGTTTTACTATGATTCAGTTCGTCAACATACACAGCATTGTGGTACAGTTGCAATTTTGAATACACGTTCAATCTCTTATCTCAGATAGTACATTAAAAAAAAATCATAATGCTACGTAATAAATAGTAGGTACTGATAGCTTTATGTTATAGACTCGTCTAATATTATTTGCTCTAATGTACAAAAGTCTATCTTTCTTTTCTAAAAAAGGCACACGTAATCAAAATTTATACGATTACGAGAAAGATGAACGTGAAATAAAATTAATGCAAAATTAGTTGAAGTAGTTTTCGTGTCTTCCCTGAAGCAACTCCCAGTCACGTTAGAATTGAAAAGTATAAAATAAAAGAATACCAGTCATTTAATCAAATTAATTAGGTATCTAAAATGCATAAACCAATTAATTAATCCAAATCGTTTGCAGGGATCGTTTGTAACTAATTTTCAAGAATTTGTGTTTTACCTTTATGGTATGGAATTCATTCTTTCAATAAGATGATTGTAGACGAGCTGTCGTATGTGCAAAGCGTACACGAAATCAAAGTGATTCAATCCCTTTAACCTCACCGTGTATTTTTCCAAAATATTCGGCAATTTTCCATTCAATATCTCAACATCCTAAAATATTATAAATGTTAAAATGTTACTTGATATTTTATGCAAGATTAAAAAGACGAGAGAGTAGCTTCCTATCGTTCAATTATATACGCAACGGCAAATTAGTGATGCATTTAATTACATTTGGAGCAGCCAAAATATCATTCAATCCGTTATACAAAATCACGGGGGCCGTGATTTTTTCCACGGGATACTCCGGCGGAATGAATCGCCTGTAAAACTTAAGATTTCTTAATGTGCCGTAATCGTAAGGCCGAAAATGTCCTGCAAGAGAAGCGACTCAGTTATAAAGGTGTAAGCACGTATAGGAATCTAGGAGATTATAGGAGATAATAGATAAAATAATAGATAAGATAATAGATAAGATAATAGATAAAATAATAGATAAAATAAAATATGAATACCTAGAAAATACATATCACTTGTTTTATTATAACAACAGATTATAATAACACTGGCCTATCATTTATCTTTAATATATATAATATCATTTTTCAGACCGCGTATGTGAGAGACACAACCGATAAATAAGAGCCCTATGCGGTCGAAGCTAGATCTTAAAATGCTTTAAATAATTCAATCTTGAATCACTAAATATGATATATGTATATATGTACTTGACATATATACCACAATTTATTTTAGTATATATGGTCTGGGTACCTATCATGGAACATGTCAGAATGAATTCCGATCGGAATTCATTTCGACATGTTTCATGATAGGTACCCTGTTCTCTGTTCCTGCACTAGACTGCATTAGAACTCTCTTGCTTTCGAGAAATATTAAACTTACCTATCTCACTTTAACTTCCAAAAGTGTACACTAGTTCAGCCACAAAAAACAGATTGATAGATTCTATCCTTACTGGAATAGAACAGGATTTGTACAATGCTCGAACAGTCATTAATGCAATGTAATACCATCTTCTAGCAGAATTCTTCAATTCAGCAGAACATTGCTTAAGAGATATTGGAGGAAAACTGCTTTTTATTACACTTCAACTTTTTCTATTTCTTATTCTGCTCACACAATGATTCGATGATATTTAAATCAGGCCATTGCGCTGGCCAGGAAAAATGTTGGAATTTTGAAGAACAGAAAACAATTTTGGGAAATAAAGTGAAAGGTAAATTTTCTTCTTCGACTTTACGTATGTACTTGAAAAATGCTAGAGAAGAATAATATGTGACAAGAATGATTTTGTTGAAGTATTTAAAAACTTAGGTAGATCTGAAAATAATAATTTTGTTGGACTGTCGAAGTAATTATGTAGGAAATTCAAGTATGACGAGCAATACTGCAAAAAGTTTTGACATTCTATTATAAGCGACCAGCTTCAGTGCCCTACATAATTATTTGGATGATCCAACAAAATTATTTTCAGATCTGTATTTAGCTAAATTTTCAGATACTTCAACAAAAATCGTTCCTTCCGTGTACAACATTCCATTGGTGACTATTTATATATTGTATAACTATTCAACAAGGATAGAATCTATATTAAAGGCAAATTATCGGTGATCTCTCATTAATAAAACAACTAGTATATTTCCTAAGTGTTTATATTATTTTGTCTATCCTCTGTATTTAAAAGAAAAAAAATTTGTGATCCCATAAATCCATAATTTAAAAATCGTACTCTGAGAATTCAATACCTGGATTCTGAATGCCCAACGCGTAGTGAACCAATTGTTTGAACGAGCATCCCGCTGGTGCAAATTGCAGATAATCCTCCAAGTGCGCCTGAAAATATGTAATGTCATCTCACATAAGCAAATCAAAGTCACGTTCAGCTCAGTCGGAATCGATTTATGCGGCTTTTACGGCGATAGCTTACGTAATCCGTCTCTCCGGTGCTGAAACCTCCTATCATGGACACGATCAGCTGGCACAAGGGTTGAGTGGGAAAGCCTTCCCGGCATAAGATGTGCGTTACATATTTCTCTAATTTCGTATTCGCTAACATCTCAAAATATCCAGTATACTTGTAAAATCCCTGTCGAATTGAGCGGATATAATAATCAATAGAGAGTATATTGCGAGAAAGATTTGCTTTCTTTTTAAATAGAATTATTCTTTGAAATGTAGTCTAGAGATGTGCAAATCAAGGTTTTTTGACTCCGAATTGAATCCAATTTTTTTTTTTCGAATACAAATCGAACCGATTCGAATCCGAATCGAATCTGGGAGTTGATTGCGTATCTTGAAATAAGATAAAAATTTCAAAATTGAGCAAATTCACTAGAATATTTATAATTTCATTGGTCCACAACTAGTATGCATATATGTATGTATATTGAATGAGTTAAAAGCCCATTCTGCGTAAATTTTGATTACAGTCCAAATAAAAGATGGTCGATCGAATAAAGTGAGCAAAAAAAATTAAAATTATACGATCACGAATATTGCGTCGTCTATTTTTAATTTAAATCGTAATCAAAATTTGTGCAGAATAGGTTTACAGCTCATTCAATTTCGAGCAAATTAAAAAAAAAACTTTAGAATTGATTAAGAATTATAACGTCGGCCGAATTTTGTTCACAAAGGTGCTTTTTCGCCTATTGTACCCCGGTGGCACGGATTAATATTATTCAAAAAATATGAAAAAATTCTGGTATTATTTGTATGAGATATTTACCACTTTAGGGGGTGTCCCAATTAAATTTCAAAAATTGTTAAAATAACGATCACCCTAATGTATTTATATAAGATTGTTAATGTATGCATTTGATTCTTATATTTAAACATCTCAGGCTGGTATTCATAGTCGATTCTTTGAGACTGTCTTAAATTCAGTTTAAAATGTTATGAACTAACAAGATGAGAGCCGCTTTAACATTTTAAGATATTACTTAAGATGGTCTTAAAATAAAGACTATGAATATCAGCCACAGATTCGAAATTTTCGAACAATTCACATTCGAATAATAGCAATTCAAATTCAAATCGAATCAAATCTTAATTCGATTCGATTCGTATTCGAATAATCCGCACATCTCTAGAACGTACAATGAAAGTACTTTGCAAATGTCGCAAATGTTTCTTAACGAAAAAAATCCAACACACACACACACACACACACACACACACACACACACTCACGCACACACACACACACACGAATATAAGTAAAGATTTTATTTTACATAAGTATAATGATGTAGTTTTATTTGTAATGATAAAGTGATCAGATAAATCTAATTATATTCTGTTTATAAATTAAAATTAGAAGAATGACTTCCGTCCGTTTATTTACATTTTTTCTTGAAATTTCAGATAATGTTTTAATGGATTACTACTCGAGTAGCTATCTGATACTTACCTTAAAATAATCCGCGAAATAACTCAAAGGTCTCAGCAAACCGCCAATGTGTCCGGTGTAAGCCACAGGGGCTAGAGCGGACATAAGTTTGATTTTCTTATTGTATTCTGGTCTGAGGGACATAAGGACCCAAAATTGCGTTGTTCCTTGAGAGAAGCCTATGTAGAACAGCTGTTTTTGGCCAGTTTCATACAATATATAGTCTATCATAGCCGGCAAATCGTACATACCCATCTCGTGCCAACTAAATAGAATACGCGCAGGAGAATTATAATTGATTAATAATTAGAATGTATATAATACATATAGACATCATTATAAAATTACATAGTACCATAAATTTTGTTACAAAGAAAATAAGAAACGTGCATAAGAAAGATTCCATTACTTCGGTCAAAATTGATCTATTTTATTTATTGTCCAGGGCATTGACAAGGAAACGGTCGAAACTGTCCCTCACTGATTTTGATGGGCTTTGTATATGTTATAGAATAATAGAACATCAAAAAATATTTAGACCCATATTTTTTTATAGCTGCATATCTCAACGTTTAGGTGATGAAACATCCCTTCGAAAATAATGGATTTTTTTATTTTCAGCGAATATCTTGGAAATTATGCCGCGCGCATATAAAAAATATTTTATACAAAAGTTTTATAGTATTTTATACTCTGTATAATAGTGTATTCACTTTTTAGAAAATCAAATTTTTCAACTTACCCCTACTCCCCTACCCCCACTAATCAGAGTTGCAAAATTAAAAAAATTTTTCGGAACAAAAATTAAAGAGCATCGAATGCCGAATTTATTTATGCACAATAATGTTATAGTTCCACGATTAAGTTTTTCAGAAAACGAGATAATAAACGTGTTACAAACGTCACGCACGTTATCATCTCGTTTTCTGAAAAATTGAATTACATAACATTATTATGCATTGAATGAATTCGGCATTCGATGCTCTTTAATTTTTTTAATTTTGCAACCTTGATAAGTGGGGGTGGGAGGTAAGTTAAAAAATTTGATTTTCTAAAAAGTGAATACACTATTATACAGAGTATATAATACCATAAAAAACTTTTGTATAAAACATTTTTCATATGCAGCATAGTTTCAAAGATATTCGCTGAAAACGAAAAGATGCATTATTTTCAAGAGGTTGTTTCACCTCCTAAACTTTGAGATATGCAGCTATAAAAAA